TGGGCCAGTTTGCATACACAGGCACAAGGGGCACTGCTAAGCCCAGGCACCTAAGAGAGGTGCCCTATGTTTTCTCCCTGGTGCTAGGTCAGGTAGTCCCTTAAAGGCTGCAGCGAACTTATGGGTTTGTTCAAGCAGCAGCAAAATTAATTCCACCTAATGCTTTGCTTGCACTGTGAACTGTGATGAGGTGGAATAGTATGGCAAGTAATGCGGTTTTAACAATATGTCAGTCCCCTCAATATAAAAGTTAGCTCTCCCATCAGCCTTTTGCTACTGTGTGCTGGAGTTAGTGTGAGGGCCAAGTGACATTGATTGCATGGATCATGGAGAGACAGTTCGTTCTAATGTACTGTACAGTGCTAGTGAGCTAACACAGAGCTATACTGTGCTATAAACAGTGTTGTATAGTGCCACTGCTACATTTCAGTGCTTTTCAGTGAGGTGGTCTATAGAGAGTGGCGTGTACCCACCACCCCCTGTATTCACTGTGCTGTTCAGTGGAATTAGTGCTCCATTAGCCCTCATTCACACAGGAATCGGCCCGCACGTACAGCTCCGTGCTGCGTGCAGGGCCGTACCGAGCAGCTCCCAGGAAGGACAGGTGCTGTGCGTGATAAGTGCGCAGCCCTGTCCTTCTCTATGGGACTACGCGGCTGTACGCCCCCCTACACTCACCTCAAGTGCAGGTCCGTAGGGGTGCGTGTTTCCTGGCTCAGACGCAGACAGGATCCATCCTGTCAGCGTACGAGTACGCTCACCCGCACGGAAGTGCAGGGACGGTGAGCGCAGGGCGGTGTACAGCCGCGTAGTCCCATAGAGAAGTACGGGGACAGCGTACTAATCACACGCAGCACCTGTCCTTCCCGGAGCTGCTTGGTACGGCCCTGCACGCAGCACAGAGCTATAAGTGCGGGCCGATTCCTGTGTGAATGAGGGCTTACTGTGAATTGAATTGTGGTGTGTGTACCACCTCATTGTATTTACTGTGAATTTAACCAACACTACTTTTTAGGACTACTTTGTGTGTCTACAATAATCTCTGTTGCTGTGTAGCTGCTGTGCATTTTTTGTTTTTTGGATGTTAAATTGTTTTTTGTTTTGTTTTATGTTTATCTTTACAAAAAAAAAACTAAAACATTTTTGTGACACAGGCAAAGCTGCTATTTGTTAGCAGCACACCATGCAAACCATTGCGGTGCAGTTAACTGCACAAAATCACCACATTGGAAAGTGCACCAAAGCTCCCTTATGTCCTAGATAATAATAAAACAAGGCAAGCCCCTGTTACCATCATGTCAGGGAGGACTGAACAGAGGCAGAGGTTGGTAATGTGCAGCTATTAGGGTGTAAGCAAATTCTGCATCTGCAGACCAAAGCAGTGGTCAGGCAACACCTTCGTGAAGTAGGGAGCACGTGTCTTTCTTTCCTGGCATTGGGTATGTTATGCAGCCAGAGCACGCAGGGGAGGTAGTGGTAAGGATAACCAAGTCTTCATCATCCCCTCCTCCTGCTCCCAGATGCAAAGTAGTGCACTCTCATCAACAGCTGTAAATGCACCCCATTCTTCCTCTTCTTCCACAGTTAAAGTGACCTTAAAGTTACAAATCTTTTTCTCTCCCCCAATGTTAATTGAAAGCTCCATGAGGGCAGGGACTGGTGTTAATGTGCACTTCGTAAATTGTTGGCGCTATATAAAAACCTGTAATTAATAAAAAAAAATAATAATCTAGGCTTCCCTCACTTTCCTTTGCGTGAAGGGTGTGGGGTTGGCTTGTGATTCCCAGGGGATTCATGGGCCACTCAAGTTTTCATACTTTGCTTATATTTTTTATACATTTGAATTGCATTTCTTTTTACCAGTTAAATATATCCCTTTGACATTTCATTGAATCTAGTCTGGTCTTTTTATTCAAAAGGTTAATCTGTAGTGCCTCTACCTACTCCTTTAGGGGGCTCGACAATCATATACTTTTTAACAGCCTCGGTTTAAGCCCCGGTCTGTACCTCATCACCTCCATCTTTAACATCTTCCCTCCTCGTAGGTCTTTCCTGACCAGTTTAGGTACTGGAATAATCTATCAGTCGCTAGGACTTTACTGCCGCAAGTGAGATTCTTTCTGTCCTACTTACTCACTTTTTGTTTTGTTTACCCTCCTACCTTACCTGGTATCCTACCTATTTCCAGACTTTACTCCCCTTCCTTTCCTCTTCTCCTTCCCTCATTCCTTCCTCACTCTGCTCCCGCAGACCTAAAAATTTGTACCTATAATGCTAGGGGCTTGAATGTCCCCTCTTAAAAAGGTCAAATATTATATCACATGCATATGGCCAGGGTACACATTATGTTGTTCCAGGAGACCCATTTCCACAGCAACCACCTTCCTAAGTACCTTGATAGGTACTATTCTAGATGGTATCATAGCTCTAACAGCATACAGAAATCCAGGGGTGTTTCAATTGCTTGGCATAAATCCCTTCAGGCTTCTGTTCTGGACCAGCGTTCAGATGAATTCAATAGATTCTCTGGGGTAGAATCCTTACCCTGACTAATTTCTATCTCCCTAACACTAATCAGGCTGTCACCACCGTTCAGATTTTGAAGATTTTAGTGGACTTTGCGGAGGGATCAGTTATTGTAGGGGGAGATTTTAACTTTGCATTGGAACTTAGTCTGAACTCCTCTGTTGGCCGTTCAATTCTTTCATTTAATAAATTGAACATCTTTTTGAATTCCACCTGGGAGATATATGGAGGATCCTTCACGCTCTAACCTGTAACTACACTAATTTTTTCGGCCCCACATCGCTCTCATAGCAGGCCAGATTACTTTTTTGTTTCCCATGCTTTGCTAGACTGGTCTCCGTGACATTGATGCTACGATTTGGTCAGACCATGCTTCGATAGCGCTCGCTATCTATCTGTCAAGGATTTGAATGATACACCTGACAGCTGCATTTGTTTGTTTGAAAACCGGAGAGGTGAAAAAGTCTTTACAAAGACTGAGACGTGATCTTATGTACATCGCTGGCTTGTCATGTAAGTCTTTTATTTGTGTTTGTGCAATAAATATATCCAAGGATTTCATGCTATGTGCAGTGTTTTTTGATTTTTTACATATTTGAAAATCAAACCTTTGATTGATATAATATTCGGAGGATGAGGAGATTACTCAAATAAGGAGAAGAGAGGATAAAATAACAAACTCTAAATTGTTCAAAAGAATTGAGGCTAAGGGTGAAATCCTGGGAAAGATCGTAATACCAGAGAAATGAAATATGGAGGAGACATTGTAACAATCGTTTGTGTTAACGGAAGGATCTGATGAGTGAATAAAAGAGATTGATTACATGAAGGTGGAGCACAGACATAAAGATTATTTATTTGGAGTCAATTGATTTATATGATTTTTTTGATGAACTTTAACACTATATGGACTTTTTTCTTTTTATTTCACTGTTGTATTAATTGTGTGCTATATTTGATATCACTAAGATTTAACGTCATTTAGACGCTTCTTTCCTCCGCTGATTAGTCGAAGGGATATTTAACAATAGGGGGGAGATGGCGTGGTGTTTGTTTGACACTTAATTGATTGATGAGAGAAAGTATTCACACGTTCTCTGATTTACTCACTGCAGCTGTCACTATACACACAGGGGGAGGTTCACTTTTTCCTTTTTACCCCCTTATTTCCTTATCATTTGCTTTTCCCTTTTTCCAACTTCTCTCCCCCCTCTATCTTTCGCTCTCTTTCTTTCATTTTCCTCTTTTCCCATCCTCTCTTCCCCTATTTCCCTCTCCCTGTATCCTACTGACCCACATTATCTTTCTCTTTTCCCTCCTGTACTTTCCTGTTTTTTTCCTAATTTCTAACCGCCCAACTTTGTTTTTGCCACATACGATTGTTTCTTCATACATGCTTCCTGGTACTTAAAAATGTTGGTATATAATATCTCACATTATTTCTGACATAATGGTAGGTTCTTATGCAGGAGCAGTGGGTATTGTATATGTTTGCATCTAGATCTCTATATGTCACTGACACTGACACTGCTCATGACTATGATGATCCTATCGACCATCTGTTACTGAAGTCAAGCAGAGTTTGTGATCTGTATTATTTCTTTGCTATTGTACTGTGGTAGCCACAATGTTTTGTGTTCCTGATGTTGATTTCCATGCATTTGTCCCTTTTTCTCTTTGAAAGGTTTTTGTTATTGATCTATTTGCTTGCTAATATCCTTTTGTATTTGTTTTATATCTTTAATAAAATTCTGATTGAACTAAAACTTTACATTTGATTCCAAATTAAAAAGGAGATTTTTCCAGTTACTTTGATTATTTGTTATTGGCAAAGATTCATGATATCCATTAACTTAAAATAAAAATTAAGTTTATGTCTATCTGGTCTAGTTTATCAGACATGTAAAGCCAAAACGTTTACGTAGCAATCCTTAAGTAGCACATTATAAAAAAACTCATTGCTAGACATTTCCTTGTTTCTGCGATAGTGTTTGTTGGGTGATAGTTTTTAAAATAGTGCAGATATGGTAATCCTCATCACTATTATTTCATATGGCCATATACATTGTAATATGGTCACCCCCCACCTTCTGGTATTCCTTGAAAATCCCACTGTAAGTTACAGTGCGACCTACAGTGGGATATGACCAAAGTGGTCTGATCACAATGGCACTTCGGAGCATAGTTAGTACTATGGAATGCGGACATATGAATTGTGAGGAAAAAATGCTGTATATTCCTTAAAACTGCTGCAGAAAGTAACCCACCTACAAAACCAAAGCGATTCCTTTGTTTAAATGGCCACAGTAGATCATGGGAAGCCATATTTAAAAAATAAAATAAATTAGAAGAATTTTACTATTTTCTAAACATACATACAAATATTTGTGCATGGAATTTAACTTGAAATCAATTATTTGTCTACATTAAAATCTTAAGTTAACAAAAAAATCTAGTTTCATTGAACAAGTTCGTTATGTAGCCCAGACGTTTATGACCACTGCAAACATTGTTATAACAATGATTAAATAAACTATTAAGACAAGCCGGTCCACCACAATGGCTGCAAAATGCCAGTCTGATTTTGCATCAACCTGGCTCTTGGAGCGAATTAATTCTTGGTGGATCTTGAGAACTTCTAACAGAAGCCTTTTCAGCAGCTTCACCTCCACAGGGACTTTCATTCCTCCTGGTGAGTCCTGTTTTCTCATTTCTATAGCCATTCTTGTGTCAGATTTCTTGTCATCAGCAGTACCTACAAAAATATATATATATATATATTTGATTCGGGGTTGTTTTCTTCAAGAGGTAACAACGCCATAGAAAACGGCTATTACTTTACAATGGGAGACATGTAGACCAACATTGAGCCAGTTTCAATGGGCTTTTGTTCACGTCACAACTTCTTCCCTCGCCTTATGAGAGAATTCTATGCAATGCAAAATCAACTTGAAGAAGGTAAAAGGCAGGTCAACTATAGGCCACCTGCAGGTCAAATACACCTGTCAACAAATTCAGAATGATTTCAGAAGCTAAGCAGACTGAATTGGCCCATAAATCTGTTGACATTGGCCCTTTTAAGGGAGATCTTTAAACTTTGGTACTAAATTGAAGTCAAACTAGAATAGACTTCCCTTGCTCAGGCCCAGTTCACATTGAGCGATTTATCGCGCGGTAATTCCCGCGATATCGCGGCTATTTACCGCGCGATATCTCTCTTCAATGCTTTGCAATGGGGGCAAAGGGTCCTGCTGTCGCGGGTCGTGTGTCGCTACAGCAGGACCCTTTTTGGAGCGGATTTTGCCGCGATTCAATAGTTTTTGATGCAAGCATTTGCGCGATATCACACAAAATGCAAATCGCGCGACAAACGCGCGATTTGCGAATCGCCAAGTGTGAATGGGGCCTCAGAGGCGCCGCTCACCACTGTGCCTCTTCAGTCACACACACAGTTTCAGTTTCTCTCCTGCTCTTCTGGTGAGTGCTCAATATCAAGCTGTGAGCATGCCATTGTCATCAAAGATGGCTCAGGTCACAGATCTAGCACCCACTCTGTGTGAATACAGTGTATCATTGTAGTGCGGTGTGATTGAGATTAAAGAGGAAGTCTACACAACAAGGAAACCTATTATTGCTGTAAACATCCGTCTGTCCCTTTATATCATCCCTTGTGGGAGTTCAGGGGATTTCTACACACAGTAACATGAAACGGCTGTTTCTGGTACATGTGTATACCACAAACACAAAGGATGGGAGTATTTAAAGTGACACTAGATTCAGGAGTTAAATCTTAAAAATGCATTTAAGTACCTTGCTTTTCACTCACCTCATAGTTCTAGCCGACCTGTGACAATCAGACTGTCACGGGTCGGTTCAGTAGATCGGGAAGTGAGCGAACACATACCGGCGTTCACTCACTTCTTGATCCTGTCACGGCCGTGACAGGGGAGGGGCTGGATTCCCCCTCCCCGCTCCGATCCTCCAGTGCTGACTGGCGGAACGGACAGGGGGAGGGGGCGGGTACAGCTGGGCGGATCCAGACATAATTGTCGGGATGCGCTTCAACGTCTCACTATACCGTGAGCTGTAGCTCGCGGTATACTGCGGCGTCTCAGTATACCGCGAGCTGTAGGTCGCGGTATACTGAGCTTAGGGTGACGGGAGGACGCTAGTATGTGTCCTCCCGTTACCCTAAGGGGAACTATGGGGAAAAGCCCTAACCCCATAGTTCTCCTTTAACTATTAACAGTACTATTAACAATACTGTACCTTATTTGTGTATCACTCGGCTGTAGATCCTCAAATCATCTCTGAATTGATGCTGCTACTGTCCTTCCTTCTGGAGGGTTTCTACTTTTTTTCCCCATGGTCCCTGTGTGTGTATTGTAAAGTAGCCACCGCTCCAAGCTCACTCCCGTGATGGACTACAATCTCATGTTTAGGTTACTATTTTGTATTGAGATTGTAGTCCATCACGGGAGTGAGCTTGGATCAGGGACTACTTTATAACACAAACAGAGACCATGGGAAACAAAAGTAGCCACCCTCCAGAAGGAATTACAATGTCAGCACTAATATTTGAGGATGCACAAAGCTGGCCGAGTGACGCACATATAAGATACACTTTTGTTAATAGTTAAGGTACATGAATTCATTTTTAAGAGTTAAATAACTAAATGTGCCGAGCTACAACAATGAGCAATACAAAAAAAACTATAAAAGAATCTGTGACTCAAACAAATGTCAGTGAATAAATAGTAAATGGATCAGATGTAAGGGCCGGTGCACACCTTGGTGATCTGTGACCGCACGGCAATCGTGCACTATACCGCGCGGATTGCCGAGAGGTCATGGAGTCACCCATCACAGACGATCTTTCAAATGTAAGAAAAGAAAAGTCAAAATAGGCTGTACAGTGTTAAGCAATGGAATACTATCACCTTTATTTCCATATATGAGTAATTGGGGTGCTCTTAATTCAACATGGTGCCATCCCTCACTACATTATTTTAATCATCTACACTGTGGGCACAATAAGTGTTGCCATGTTTGACAATTAGAGGCTACACACTCACAGTTTTACAGTGTTCTTAAAAGACTGATTAGGGGGAATTTATCAAAACTGGAGCAGACAAAATCTGTATCTGTTTTTGTCTGCTCCAGTTTTGATAAATTCCCCTCTGTGTATTTTGTGAAATACTTGTCTGTAGGTAAATGCAAGACAGTTTGGATCTCTATAAGGTGCTCATAGATACTACATGCTTGTCATCAAGTCAAGCTTATTTCATCTGGATGATGGCGGATGAAGGGGCCTTAAAATGTGTACAGTGATGACATCCAACCATCACAGCCCATCACTATTGTTAACTACCCCATTCCTCCTCCCAATAAGATAGCAGTCAGGTGTGCTTCCATACTATGGAGACACACGAGCTCAGGCAATACAAGCATGACTGATTTTGCAAACATTGGTTGAAAAGGTTTCCCAGCTGTTTCATTGAAAATTGGAATACACATAATGCATGTCAATATTTGTAATTTTGCATTTTGAGTACTTACCTTGTTCTGTGTCAATTTCCATCAACTTGCTTTGTTTATGGGCCTTTACATTGAAGAGAAGAATGCGTGCAAGATGTTTCATAATCCAGATTTTTATCCAGTTAGGGACAGTCGGTTGCGTTTCAGACAACATTAACATATACGAGGTAAAAATGGAACCGATTATACTGATGACCATGACAGCCAGACACACGCAACAGAAGACACCTGTACAAACAACATGGAATTTGAATTAATTTTAGATTTTTGATCAATGCCTTTTGTTCACGAAACCTGACACAAACCTGAGTAAGTCACAATATGATGATAAGATATATAACTGAGGCTGGGGTTTCCAAAATGGACACTCTGTCCTCAGTGCAGCTCAGTAACACTGAGCCTGATAAAATTACAGGTTTAGCGTTATTGAGCTCTCTGTCCAGCCACTGCAACTGCACACAGACAGGCACAGCGGCCACAGACTTTTATTGTGGGTGAAAGGAGCCTGATGGGGATGCTGAGGTACTAGTTCTCCATTAGCACTGCTGTGCTGCTGATTGACATCAGCCAGTGGGCAGATGCAGGCTGGCTATTGTCCATGGAAGCCACTCCCTGATGCCAGTCAAAAGAGAGGCAGACCTGATGGGGACCTAGTCTTTCAGCTTCCCCATTAGGCTCTGCCCACTTAGCTACATCATTGGTTGCTAAGAGGCTGTCAGCTGTGCAGCCAATGGCATCTTAGCAACCATTGACATAACCCTGGTCCCATTCAAGTAGCGGCTGGGAGATTCCCCAGGTCGACAATTAATTATAAACAAAGCATCCCCGGCCGTTTTGTTTACATTCAGCTCTCACCTGGGGAATCACACGGTCGGGAACCTTGGATGCATAACTGGTTGCTAGGACACCAGTGGTGTCCTAGGAACCAATGAATGGAAAACTGTCACATTCATGACAGCTTCCCAGTACATACATGTCCCCACTCTGAGCAATGTCATCTCTCTGTAGGCCTTATCAGAATTGGTCTTATTTACTGCCAATTTTCTATCTGTAAACTGGAGGTCATTCTTTGTAATTATTGTGCAGCCATAGTGACAGATTCTTAAAATAGAGCAATCAAGAACTACCTGAATCTGTTGCAAGTGTGGGTAAAACTACCAAAACTCAAGACAGAGCTTTTCTAATTTTGGTGGAGGACATTATTGAATGTCCCCCAATGTCTCTTGTAAAAGTTAAGCTTAGCTCTGTCTCAGGTGCAAAATTAACAAAGTTATACTTGGTGCCGTTTTGCTTTTTTCCTTCAGTCTCCCCCCTCCGTTCCAGCAGTCTAAGATCCCGTGAGTCATCACCTTCTATACACTGTAAAGGGCATGAGGACGCCTAGGGACATACCATCCCTGGATCGGAGAAGGAGACAGGCTGAAGGGAGTGCTGTAAGATCATCTCAGAGGATCGGGTGAGTATAACTATTATTTTTGCACCTAGACCAAAATGGGGGCCCCACTGCAAGGGTTAAGAAACATTTTCCCCAGAGTTCTTCTTTCAAATTAAATAATAGTTAAAGTGACATTAAAGGATATCCCCCCCTCATGCTAGTGTAAGGACTTACCTTAAATGATGCCTCTTGATCCGATCATCTTCTTCTTTCCTGTAGTTTTCAGCAGTCCCTCCCGCGCTGGTGGCGGTCACTGATCCAGCGCTGACTGCTGCGTCTTCTGTGTCCCACGGAGTCTGTGTTGGTGCATGTTGTCAGGCTGCGTGCATTGACTTACCTTGTGTCTCTCCTCTTCTCCCGGCCGAAGATCTGTACTGCGCATGCGCCTGTCCCATGATCCTGTGCGGCGAGATTTTTCAGATCTTCAGACGGGAGCGCGTGGCAGAGACACAGGTTAATTAGGTAAGTAACCTTTTTCGTAACTTTTTTTCTAATGTTTTTGCATGTATCTCTTGTTTGCTAGCAGTTAAAATATATGCGAAAATCCCAGAGGGTTTAATGATCCTTTAAGATAAAACGTCAGTATACACAAGCAGTATTTTATAATTTAATTTTCTTTCATGTTTCAGTAGGTTATGGAGAATCCAGTTGAATCTAGTGAGACGAACAGTGGATGAAAACTATGCCTCGGCTTTTACCACCAAAACGTTTATGAAAGCTGGGTAGCTTTCCACTTTAAAATCCAGAAATTCTTTAAAAATGTAACTGACACAAGTTGACACTAATTGATCACTACACTCCTGTTGGTATGCTGCCACCACATCCACCTATAGTAGAAGTAACAGAAGATAAGATCAGTGAGGATGAAGAGGACATCCTCCAGGGATGGAGGATGACATCAAACAGTTCACAGAAAATGACCCCACAATTTATCACTTTCTGGATCAGCTTTTTCAGATAGGTTATCATTAAGATGTCACATGTCTTGTTTTATTATGCATTATTTGTTGTGAGTTGTCAGTGGTGATAGGTCACAATCCTACAGCTCTTGTCTGTCTCTGGTGACCCTTGACCTTACAGTACATTATCTTCTTTTCAGGTCTTTCTTGTTATCACGTATCTGGTAGGGAGACTGGTTTGGTGAGGAGGCTTCTCTTGCACCTGGTGTCTTGTGGCCTTTGAGGTTGGTGACAGAGGCCAGGCAGACACCGAGTGGCACGAGTGCCAATGGTCTTGAAACCGTGCAAGCAGAAGGGTTATCCAGAAATCAAAGGTCAAGGCAAGCCAAGGTCAAACCAGAAGAGCAGATGCAGTACAGAGGGAGTAGGCGGAGACGGGTTGCAATAAACAGTCCGAGGTTAAAAGGCAGGCAGCTATCAGGGAAGGTCGTTGAGCAGAAACGGGTCAAAATCCAGACAAAAACGGCAGCAAACAGGACAAAGCAAAAACGTGATTCCAAAGCACAATTCGGGGCTGAAAAGACAATCCAGGACCCAATGGACATGCAAGCCAGGTTTAAATAGGGAAGTGAGGCAATCAACTACGTCTCTTCCTGTGCGCCATTTGGCGCATTTTTTCTTGAGACTCGCTCCATCTGCACGTCACTTCCGGTGTGCCATACGGCGCGTCTTCCTGCGGGAAAGCAGAGCTATGCGCATGCGTGTGAGCATCCGCCTAGCGGGACTTGGCGCATGCGTGGAACGGGGATGTTGCTCACACTTGTCTAGAGGTGTATAGTTAATATAAGTAATTCTATTAGCGGTTACCCATAAACAGCAGCCAAAAAACACTTTCCATCAATTTAGAGCAGACTAGAAAAAGATAATTCAGTTGATTACTAAACTTTGCATGTCTGTGAAGGTTCTCATTCATCCAGGTCATGGTATATCTGTAAAAAATAAGTCAAGGCAACTGGACTTGCTGTATTTTTCTTGAAGATGTTTCTGAGACGTTCAGTCATTCTGAATTGAGAAAGCTTGTGGGATGACCAGTGAAACATCTTCAAGAAAAATACAACAAGTCCAATTGCCTTGACTTATTTTTTACAGATAAACTTTGCATGTTTGTTCAAATAAATAAGGATTGCAGCAATTTACTGAAGGACCCTTTCCTTGGTTATTTAGTAGCTGTTAAAGAACATTTATTAAATGAAAAAAAAAACAATAAAACTGTCCAGGCACCAGAAGATAAAGCAGTATGGATGGATCGACAGTTAACTCGGTCATTTGGCCATACCCAGTTTGCTACACGTTGCCCACTCTTCGTTTTTTATTTCGTTTTGAACCAGTCAACACTAGAATTTCAGATAGCAGTCATACATCCATATCTTCTATCCGTTGCTAATTTAGAACTAACAAACTACAAAATGACTTCCATTTTTAATCAACCCAAGTATAGGGATTCATTTCTAAGAATAAAAATGGAATGGGGCTTTATATTAGAGGGGAACCATAACCTTATCCCTTTCGGCCAAGGAAATTGTCATCTTAGCCTCAATTTAGATTGCAGTTGCAATGGTGCTGTGCATGTGATCAGCTATGACACCAGCCATTTGAGGGCTTGAAAGTCTGGTTGAGAGCTGAAATAAGCACACTGGCCACCTTGACAGTTGGCATGCCGTAAAAGTAACTGTATTTGGAGATATTATGGTGGGTAAAGTTCCTTTTTAAGGTATTTTTCATTGCTTTAGACTCATCTTATTTATAACTATGGTGTCTCTTGAAACAGGGTTGTGTTGTTTTTAGAAACTATCTCTATACTGCAGTTATCAGATGAGAACTCTGGGTTACCATTCATGGGATTTGGTAAAGGTGGGTATCCTGTAAAGATACTTCCTGCTTAGTACGTCTGCAGCCTGCTCAGTAGCTTTTTGTTATTTAAATGCAACCAAGAAAACTCTGCAGCTAGGTATAAAAACTCTGCTATCATGTACACAGATCAAGCTTCTCTTGCCCAGCTTTATCAGTTCTTCTCATCTCACCCTAGTAGCCAGTAACAAAACCACATTTGTGTAGAGATTTTCAATAAGAAGCCACAAACAGTAACTCCAATATAATAGGAAAGTAGATTGCAATCAGAACACCTACCTAATACTGGTGGGTTGTCCGAATTGGGAAGCATGTCGTTAAGGATCAGGAGGAGCACAGAGAATCCCAAAACCACTGTTATCTTAAAGCCAAGTCTCTCCCCGGTCCCCAATTCAATGAACATACTGGAAATATCCAAGAATACCATAAAACATGCTGGAACAATTAAGTTTATTATATAAACAATCGGAGTTCGTTTAAGGATGATCTAAAAAGAGGATAAAAAAACAATGCTTTGGTTATCATCAGGTATTGTATTGCTGTTTCACTTGGGTGTATGCACTAGGGTTTTCTTCTGGTTTGTTCCGAACACATTTAAATTGGGCAGTGTTTTCCTTGTATACAGATAACTGGTGGCTGGTTGGGCATGCACCGCTTCGACAATGCACAATCTTTCTAAAAAAAAAGTCATTCTACAACTAGGCACACTTGCTTGTTTGTACAGGCAGTCCCCGGGTTACGAACAAGATAGGGACTGTAGGTTTGTTCTTAAGTTGAAATGTGTATGTAAGTTGGAACAGGTACATTTTTAGGTGACTGCATTTTGAATATTGGATAGCATAACCATCTGTAATGTTTGTTTTTCTTTGTGTGCCCCTGTTCAGAAGATTTCACCTTTCTGTCCCTGTGACAATTGGATTTTGAAGATTTTGGGTTGTAGTGGAAACAAGGATTGGTGATAAAGCTTCAGTGGAGACAGCTTTTTTCCCATGATAACTCTTACAGGAGTGAATTTCCCTTCCCAGGGGTAGATTTCCTCTCACTTCCTGTTGTCTCAAGGACAGGAAGTGAGATTAAATCTTTCTAATGAGGATACAGATAGCAGTAAAAACCTCACAGTGACCCGGAAGAAGAGGTGGGCACCCCTCGTCTGCACGTCTAACAAGAGCCAACTTCCTTTAATGTATGTACAGTACTACGAACCAGACCCAAAAAGGCGGGCACTCCTCGTCGGCACGAGTGCGGTAGCATTACAACTACTGAAATGCTGCGTGGTACACTTTGGCTGCATCCTGGGACCCCCTGCTGTACAGTAATAGCCTCTGTTTGTAAGTAGGTGTCCTATTTAAGTCGGATGTTTGTAACTCGGGGACTGCCTGTACTTATGTAGGATAGAGGAGTAGGGCTCAGGGTGCCAACCTATCTAAGGGAAACAATTGGTATTTTCTGGTGAAGGAATCACCCTTCACCAGAGAGCATTACTTTGGATCATGTAGGCACCTAGAAAACGTAGGTCAGTAACCCAGAGCAAACAATAAGATTTCACTGGTCAGATTAGCAAAATGTGAATTTCTGTGCATTGATCAGTCCATGTATAAATCTGATTCCAAATATGGAAAATGATATGGGATATAAGTATATAATGAATCCAAGCTTAGCATTTCGAATTTAGAACCACATAAAAAAAAAACTTTAGGGAAATATTGTACCTTATACTTAACTTCACTGAAAGTTACACCTTCACTTGTCACATTTCCATCTTCCACATTGATGGTCACCAATTTCCAGTCTCCTTTACTGACAAAGATGTCCTTTGAGTTTTTGTTGACTTGACTGGAATTAGCTTTGGCTAGCATGATGATGTTCTCAACTGCATTCAAACAGCACAAAATAATTGTGTTTATTATGCAGTTTAAATATATTATGCTGGTCACACATTGGTCATGCTGCATTCAGAATAAGATGTAACTAACCCAACCCCATGTTTGGGATTGGTTAAACACATTTTCCAGTATGATGAAAAGATGTGCAGCCAAACATAATAAAGCAGAACAGTCATTTCGATGTACTGTATGTATGCAAAATGCCTCATTATGCCTAAATAGGGATAAATGTTGTGGTGCGTAGCTGCAAACAATTGTTCTTAATAATTGCAGGCACGACTTTTAATTACCCATCTAAAACAAGATGTCCCAAACGGCTTTTATAGATAGTTTGATGCAGTATAGGAATTAGGGCATATGCATTGATTTCTACTGTAGGTTCAGTGTACACCACCATCTGCTGTATGCTTATAGTAAGCAACCAAAGGGCTACTAGATGCTCAGACCTGCAACTTATCCGCATTTTCTAAGAGGCTGTATATGATATAATTTGTAGATCATCTATGGATTATCACCATCTATGGCTGACTTTGACTTAGAGAAGAGATGACAGCATCATCTTCAGTTAGAGCTGGATTAAAAGTTCAACTGAGACCCAGAAGAGGAAGATAGAGGCAGGGGTAAGGGTAGAGCTGTTCTCTCGATGGCTCATGGAGTTCTTCTTCTGTTTTTTTCACAAATTTTCAAACTATGCTTGAGCAAACATGTTTATGCTATGAAGAGTAGATGGGGAAACCTGCTGCCAGACTCTTCCGTTGGTTTATAAAGGTGGCAGGCAATGACAGTAGTTCCACCAGGAACAATCGCTCTTTCCCCTAAAATCTCTTAGCTGGAAATGCCTGGCAACGCCTACAGACATAAAATCTTTTCCAGATCGGGATGATCCCTATTTAAAATCTTTGGGCCTTGGAGTCAAGCTTATGCAAATGTGTTTTCCTGTCATACTAGCAAAAGTGTTACGATTTGTTGAAGGGGATGAAATTCCGGAATTCTCAAAAGCTGCCTAATGGTATGTGCAGACTTCACCCTTTTTTCAGGGACAGTCCCCGATACACTAATTTAACCTTTCTCGGTTGTTTCTGCTCCTGAATCCAAATAATACAGTTTGCATACTATATTATCTTCAGTGAACTTGTTTTCCCTGTCCAATTTGAGACACTGTTGGGATCTCACATAGTTTAGTTCTGTACTGTCCATCCCTTTTCTCTTTTTTCTCTGATCTTTTAAAATGGATTTGCTGAAAGAAATATCAAATGTGTTGCCAGTAATATTTAGGCTTTATGGCGCACAAATTTGGGACCATTCATTTACAGTATAAAGATATTATAATAGCAGTGATCTCTAGCAGTCTATGACTGTATACTGAAGCATTTCTCCAGTCTCTAACAAATCCTATAGCATGTTGGCAGGCTTTGACCATCTCTTGCAGCGTGTCTATAGTCCTTGACCATCTCCTGTTGCATATCTGCAGTCCTTAACAGCTTTTTATAGTATTACATTCAGTGAATAGTATGTGTGTCCCCCTGTAAGAACCCTTTATAAAGAAAGTTGACTATCACTGCACTAAACCATACTCTCTGTTAAAATTTTGGCATGCATTATATCTATGTAAGCTGTTCAAAAATGTCAGGTTACCAAGAGAATTAAATTACCTGAGTGAATATAGGACCCAAAGGTCAAACTGCATGTCTGTTCATCAAAGGGGAACTTGAAGATGTTTAGCTTACAGGAGCTAACAATCCGTAGTGGTTTAGAATTAATTATTTTCCCTTCATGGGTAACAGTGTAGTATGGAATGACAGGAACATTGTTGTCAGACTCTGTCCTACATAAAAAAGATGGCAAAATTAGAAACAAAATGAATATTCAATGTAAGCTAGGATAAGCCAGGATAACAAAGTGCATATATTGTGTATGTATATGTACTGTATATATTTATAAAATGATAAGGGATTTTTATAGACACAACAAACTTCGGATTTCTTATGGGAACATCTTAAACATGTGCTACTGTTGAATCAACAGGTGTTTGCACAAGACCAGTTGTGCTGCCCTTTAAAACAATTGGATATAAAGTTACTACTATGGTATTCCAGGAGCAATAAAGAAACTATGTCATTTATTCCATTCTGTTGCAATATTTTTATTAAAGTTTTCAAAGGCATAACAGTATAAAACAAACTGACAATTCCATGAATACAGTCGTTCAGAGGAGAATAACAATCATACAACTTATGGTAAATACAGATATTTTTCAAATGTTATAATTGTTCTCTTTTTCCCCCACACCCTCAAAATACGTATATTAAGTGAGTCAAGGCCCACTGGGCTTTACAGCTTAACAAAGGGCTCGGGAGAAGACGGTATGGATTGCCAGGAACGGAAAAGATGGAGGTCAACAGGCTAGTAAAAGAGGGAGAACAGTGTCGGGTATAGTGGGGAAAAACAGGGGGGGAAAGACGACATCAACATCCTTATTAGTATTGGTAGCTTCAAGTAAGCGTGCAAATCCAGGTCGGGCCCTTGATCGGTTCCCATGCTGCAGGGATAGTACCCTCCATTCCCTACTTCCCTCTGGGCCCCATGTCATGTTGCGTGCCTAGATACCTCTGAAGCTATTTAGATCCATATTGGGGTGTTGGTGGAGAATCCAAGGTTCCCAGATGTGCAGGAACTTGGTTTGTGAATCCTCCAGGATACTAGACAGCCTTTCGTTCAACATGATATGTTGAACGAAAGGCTGCCAGGTAAATTGGAGGATGCTCCGCTGCATTGAACGTAAGGCGAAGGATGGGATGGCGACCGGAAGCGTTCTGAAGTAGTAAAGGAGTTTTGGCAGAATGGTCATCTTGATGGCAGACACTTTGCCTAGCCAAGAAAGTTTATGTGGTAGCCAAGAAGTCAACGTGTTCTTCAAATTTTTAAATAGAGGGGTATAGTTTGTGGCATAAAGCGTATCGTATGAGGACATCATTTTGACCCCCAGGTAACTAATAGAGACTGGAGTGTCCATACTGGACACTCCATTTTTGGTGCAGCCCAGTAACACTAAGCCTGATAAAATCACAGGCTCGGTGTTACTGAGGTGCCTGCCTGGCAACTGCATCTGTCACAAAGACAAGTGTGGTGGCCAAGCCATCTCAGTGATGTGAAGCCTGTTAAAAGTGAAAGTTCAGCATCACTGAGCGCAGCATTACCAATCCTGAGCCTGCCTATGTGAAAGGAGGAGTGTCCAGGCACTTATAACAGGCTCAGCGTCACTAAGCTGACTTGTGGCAAAAATGGCTTCCTTGGGCAGCATCTGATCCAACCTGGAACTGCCCTGATGGTGTGTGTGTGTGTGTACAGCAAACCATTTACTGAGAAAGTAGACATTTTTAGCTGTGCACCACAAGCCGAAAGGAGGACTCTACCTAAGGACCCTGCCAAGGGACAACACTAGAAGTTACACTATGAGAGAGAGACTACCAAGATCAAAAACCCATTTTCCTGCATTCACTTAAAATTCCGCCAGTTCTGTTTGCTAGGAAATCCTGGATCATCTATAACAGAAGCAAAGTAACTTTTAGTATCTGCCATTGCATACAGACTATTGCATATGCTAGGAAAGGATGGATAGTGTGCATGTGTAATGTATGCATATCTGTAGCACTCTGTATGTCTTGTATTATTTTCCTGTAACTGTAAGTAGTGTGTATACACAGCATTCTTGTGTTTAGTAAAAAAAAAATATATATACTACTTGGTGGTTTTCTTTATTTCCTGCAAATAATTAAAGCGACACTATACTCGGGAGTTAAATCTTAAAAATGTATTCAAGTAACTTAACTATTAACAAAAATGTTTGTGTATCACTCGGCTGTAGATCCTCAGATCATCTCTGAATTGGTGCTTCTGGAGGGTGGCTACTTTTGTTCCCCATGGTCTGTGTGTGTGTTGTAAAGTAGCCACCGCTCCAAGCTACTAAATTTTGCCGCCATTTGTTTCTTTCCACCTTTGAGTCTTACTACTCCTGCTTTTAAAAGACAGTTTCTACACATCTTGTTGAATTTGCTTAATGGAAAATAATAGGGATGCACCAAAATTTCTGCTGCCGAAACATTTCGGACGAAAATGGCACTTTTGGCAAATTGATGAAAGTACCATGATTGCCAAAAATGCGGCCGAAAATTCAGCGTATACCTAGCTTCTCTCCTCCCTCACAGGTGGTGGAGTTTTCCACCCACACCTCCTGGCTCTCCCTCTGTGACAGGATGGAGAGCGGTGAGTGGAGGAGAGTGGTGTGATCTGTCACAGGAGGCCAAGCGGTCGGTGGGGGAGGAGAGCTTGAAGGTTGGAGGGCGGTATACAAACACTCACAGCTGATCATTGAGTGTTTGTAAATAACTGGACATAGGGTGCTTACTATTCCCAGTTATGAATGAATAGGAAGTGATCTACATCACTTCCTGTTCATTCATGGTTGTGGACATGGTAAGCACACTATATCCACAATGAATGGATAGACAGGAACACTCAGTATAGAGGATTCCTGTTCATTCAAATCAGGGGCTGTAGAAAAATTAGATTGAGGATATGTGTTCCCAATCTCTTTTTCTATTTTTAAAGGGAAATACCAGGGGTCTGTTTAGACAACTGATATTTGCCCAAAGCCCCCAGCAGTAAAAAAAAAAAAAAAATTATTGAAAAATAATTTAAATTTTAAAAAGATTGGGAAAAAAAGTCATTTTCGTTTTCGGCCTGACAAATTTTTTCTTTTCCGTTTCCGTTTCTGCCTCAAAATCCCATTTCAGTGCTAGAAAATAAACTACATTTCAGCAGGGAGAGTGTCACCTCCTCACAGGTGCAGTATAGATATGCATGTGACAGAGATCATGTTAAAGTGCATCCATAACCAAAACTTTTTTTAGTTATGGATAAAGTAAGGAATAGTTAGAATCCTTGTTGCATTTTTTTTTCTCGTTTGCTTTGATATTAGCTTGGGATCTTTGCCTAAGCTTAGCATCAGCAATTTTTTTAATTATAAGAATGATGTAATGCTAACATGGGCCTTATTATGCTAAGCATGAATTTTAATAACTGCTGTACTCTCTAGCATATGTCAAAAATAAAATATTTCCTTTGGATTGAGTGATCCTTTAACATCAGCATGAGGAGCAGAATCTTCCACACAGCTGGCTTCCTACCTAATATTTTTAAAGATGAATAATACCATCACTCTTATAATGTATCTATAGCCAAAACGTTTGTGTCTTGGATAGAGTATGAAGGGATTAAAACCCCTGTAAAATTATTATTTTTTGTTTTGCAGTCTGTGTACCATTGGTGATATTTTCTAGGGCTGCGGAAATTACCGAATTATTTCTCGATCTTTTTGATCGATTAAAAATGTTTTGATCGCTAATGAAAATACTCACCTCTCCGCCGCCTTCCGGGAGTCCCCTCGGAGATCTGGTGACGTCACGGACATCGACGTCACCGGACTGCTCCCTCTTCCCCAAGTGGCTCCGTTGGCTAACGAAGGGAAGGGGGAGGAGTCCGGTGACATAGATGTCCCCAAGTGGCTCCGTCGGCTAAGGAAGGGAAGGGGGGAGGAGTCCGGTGACGTTGATGTCCGTGACGTCACCCGACTCCTCCCCCTTGCCTTCGTTAGCCGACGGAGCCACTTGGGCCGGTGAGTATGGCCAAGAAACTTGTTCTGCCCTATCAATTTTTAAATAGGTTATACTTACATGTAAAGGGAACATCACTGTGCAGCCTGCCAATTGACATCGAACCTTTCTTCTACAATCTTCCCAGCTGGTCAGTGTGCCCACAAGTGTGGACCAAACTCCAAGGCATTGGGCTATACACATACAGCACAGCAATGAAGTAATAAAATGAACTAGGATCACACTAATCCAGCACGTTAGTATTCTGATTTGCCCCACTCAAGCGGCGGCCATATTGAGTGGGGCACGTGAGATTAATAACGTGCTGGATTAGTGTGATCCTAGTTCATTTTATTACTTCATTGCTGTGCTGTATGTGTATAGGCCAATGTAGTTGGATCTGTATGTGCGTTATAATGAATCGAAATTAATCGTTTAAAAAAACATTTTGATTAATCGAACACGAAAATTTGAATCAGTAACAGCCCTAATATGTTCCCTTTAACATCTGCTGCAAACACACAGGGATAGGCTACACTGCAAACTCATAAATGTTTATTTTATGCGCAAGAGGACCAAATGCATATAGCACTTGGTCCAGTTTGGATCAGTGGCCCCATTGTGGAATAAAAGTACCTCTTTATTTATATTATTGCTGGCTGTAGCTTCACCCCAGTCTGAAGCCTAAAATATGGGTGTTCCTGTAAAGGGAGGTACTGTAAAGTCAACACTAAGCTCCCACCCCTTCTCTTAGCAGACTGTTCATTTACTATAATGAATGAACAATCAGCACTGCAGGGCTGTGTGATAGCGCTGCTGGCTGCCAGTAAACATACAGGGCAGTGTCAGCTCTATCACACATCCCTGACAGAACTGATCGCTCATTTATAAAAAATAACTCAGCACTGCAGGGCTATGAGATCTATCTGCCAGGGCTGCTTGTGAGTACATAGCCCACCAGACCGATCAAATAGCCCTGCAGTGCTGAGTGTTGTTTTATTAATGAATGCTCAGTACTGTCAGGACTGTGTCATACACTGTACTCACCCTGACAGATGACTGTTCATTCATAAAAGATCACTTAGCACTGCAGGACTATAAGATATATCTGCCGAGGTTGCTTGTTAGTACATAGCCCACCAGACAGATCAACTAGCCCTGCAGTGCTGAATGTTGTTTTATGAATGAATGCTCAGCACTGTCGGGACTGTGTTATACACTGTACTGACCCTGACAAAGCTGACTGTTCATTCATAAAAGATCACTCAACACTGCAGTTACAGTAGAAACGGTCGCACGCCTTCCATACACTGCACGATTCTCGTACGATCGCGGGATTTCCCGCGATTCTCGTATGAGAATCGTGCAGTGAATGGGCACCTTTAGTGATCTATCTGCCGAGGATGCTTGTGAACCCAGGGCCTGCAGATAGATCACAGCCTGCAGTGCTGAGTAATTTCTTATGAATGGCAGCACTGGTCTCCAGAGTGGCCCATGCTGCCAGATATCAGTGCTGTCACTGAAAACTCCATCTCCTTGCTAGCAGTGTGGTTGGACAGAGGTGCTTAAACAGTTTGACCTTGCTGCTTGCCAATGGCAGAACAAATTTGAATAGGATCGAGTGCTATATGCATTTGGTCCCCTAGCACAGTGGTCCCCAACCCCCGGGCCGCGGACCGGTACCGGTCCGTGGATCAAACGGTACCGGGCCGCCCAAGGAACGTGTGCGACTTTCCATGGACGAGAGGTTTAAGGCCGTGACACACTGCAGGCAAAGCGGCGCACAGGCACCGGCGACTCGCGGTCCTTCGCCTGCAGTGTGTCTAGTGAGTTCCGATCCCCCGCTCTGCCCGGCAACAACGTGCGTAGCGCAGCATCGTGAGATGAAAAAGTTCATCTCCAGCCTGTTTGCAAATGCGTCTTGTCAGTCCAGAGGAGAAGTTCCGGTCCGCGGCGATAAAAAGGTTGGGGAGCACTGCCCTAGCATTTTTTGTGAGACTTCTTCTTTAACATCAGATGTCTCCTTCTCCATGTACAGAACATTGTGTGAACCTTTTTTTTTTTACTATTAACTTCTTTTCTTAAGTTTATGAAATCTTAAATATTTTTGAATCACTTACATTTCATAAATGTAAAGGTCAGGTAGCCAAAAATTATTTCCAGGAATCAAAATCTGCTCAATTCCACAATAAACATCCGGGTCCCAAGATATAAACTCATTTGGCCAAGCCTGTAGACATTAATTAGAAGTTATTACGGTAATTGTACATTTAATTATACAGATGTTTTTTCTACTGTAAGATTATAATTAGCTGTATTCCAGGCAGAGATAAAAACAACAATGTATTACTTCTTCTGCTTTACGTGCACGTTTGCCATGCTGTACATTAAACAGTACCGCATGACACTCTTTCTATAAAATACTGCGATGTCTAATAATTAATAATTTCACACAAGATTCACATGTTTTTAAAATTGAATCGTGGGTGAAAAATGTGACTCTGCGCCCGGGGCAAGTGACCCCCCCGCACCCCCGGTTGTTACGCCACTGCTCTTGGGTAAAAGTCGTTTGGATCTTGGATGAAAAAATTGATGAATGGACCCCATGTAACCCCAAGCATTCTACAGAAAGAGGTTTTCATGGTATATATCCTTTGAGGAAATTATTCCTTATTTGCTATAGGAGCAAATCTTTACCATGGAAGAAGTGACAGGGCCTGCATAGACTTTTATTCCTTACCATGTTGAACCAGAGGTATGTGGTCATTGTTTGCAGAGCTGTGTTCTAAAGGAAATAAGAGTTTTAGTCAATTATACTGTGTACAAACAACATTGCTAAATCTGGCCATACAATCACAGTTACAATCTCATTATATGATATGTACTTTTTTCTTTTATTATATAACCGATGTACATATATACAGTATATGTATAGTTTATGGACAATCTGGCACAGTAGCTTAGTAGTTAGCAGGCAGTGGGTCCTCGGTTCAAATCTTGACAAGAAAATTCTATGGAAAAGGCTTTAAAGTATATTACATATGGCGCCAGTGAGCTGGCCCATAGAATCACCTAGAATTGGATACGACTGAATGGATATATACATACATACCTACATACATACATACATATATACATACTGTACATACCAAAACCTAGGAAGTGTGAATGCCTACTTAGCAACCCATTTAATTTGTACCAATCAGGGGGACACTTGCACTACAATGTGGTTAAAAGGCCTAAAGCTCACGATATGCTTTACAATCAACCACAATGTAAAAAAGAACTCCGGGAATTGAAAAACCTAAAGTGCTTGTTTTGTCTAAAGGACTCAAATAAAGCAGATATACTCACCTGATCCTCGATCCCTTGGCAGTCAGCGCTGACCGCTCACCACTCTTTCCCTCCGGTCCAGCTGTGGAAAAGTCCTTGGCATCCCCACGTCTAATGCTAGTCAATGGGCCTACATTAGACGTGATGATGTCAGCGGTTCTTAGAACACTGGAGCCCAGGGGAGAAGAGGCTGCAGAGACCAGTCTAGCAGCCTGGTGGGACTTTGTAGTAGGTAAGTATATCTGTTTTTTTTAAGCCCCCTAGACAAAATGAGTACTTAACCCTTGCAGTGGGACTACCCCCGCACTGCAAGAGTTACGTTTTTTTTAATTCTCAGAGTTCTTCCTTAATAAAACTATGCACTATAAGGGCTTATCCAATAACCATCCAACCATGTATATTCAATCAGGCAGGCTCTTGCTCATCATGCTTGTTGTAAAATCTAAAGCAGATAGTACAATCACATTGTAACACGTGTGACAAGCTTTAAGGAGATGGTACAATCATTTTGTAAACATAAATAGTCAACTTTAGTTTAGGGATGCTGAGAAAAAAAGAGAGAGAAAGAAGGAAGGAAAATAAAGTAGAGAGTGCTAGGATCAGGCCCATATTTAGACATAATGCTAATCTAGGCATACCTTAATTATAATGTCTTTTCAAACAAGCTCAGCCCCCAGTGTCATGTGATTATTTTAGTAAAAGCTACTGCTAGAATGCACTATGGAAGCAGCATGTGGTGTGCTTTATATGCAGGTCCACTTTTCAAATGTACAGACCACCAAGCATATTACCTGATTTATAAGGACTCTCCAAATTTCCAAAAAGATAAAGTGGATGCCATTCGCAAAGCACTAACACCCCTACATGGCGCTGATGAGTATAGAAAATTCCTAAATGAAGTGTATGCCAGTTATTTATACAAAAAAAAAAATAGATACATTTTCATATAATATAGTACCTGAGGGACGTATTGTATATTTGGTAAGCACATTTGCTGGTGAATGTTTATAACGCAGATTTGCTGTGTGAACGTTTGCCATATTTACAGTCATGGCTAAAAATATTGGCACCCCTGCATTTCTGTCAGATAATGCACCACTTTGCAGAAAATTGTTGTAATGACAAATGTTTTGGCATTCTCATGTTTATTTCTTTTGTTTGTATTGGTATGACAAAATTATTGTCACCCTCAATTTAATATTTGGTAGCACAGCTCTTGGAAAAAATAACTGAAATCCATCGCTTCCTGTAACCTTCAATGAGTTTCTTACACCTCTCTACAGGAATTTTGGACCACTCTTCTTTTGACGGCTGCTCCAGGTCTCTCAGATTGGAAGAGTTCCTTTTCCCAACTGCTTTTTTGAGTTTTCTCCACAGGATTCCTGTAGAGAGGTTGTTAAGAACTGGAAACCCCTTTTTAAAGCCCTGCATTAATTGCTGATAGTTTTTGGAACCTCCAATGGCCCCCTTTGGGGAGCTGGCAGATATCCCACCATTTCCCACCAAGAGTCCTTTGAATCAATAACCAGCCCATCATACAGGCAAGTAGGGAAAAAACACATACTGGTTAAAAACAATAATGTTTTCAATTTTACTAAATGGTATCCAGCTGCATCTCAGATGTGTTGCAATGCATCCTCTTCTTTTGGGTATCACTTATGGAGAGTAAAATTCCTCCTTCTTCTCTTCTCATTCCTTGACCCTTTAGTTCCCAGAGACATCACTGCATTAACCCCATACTATATCTATGAGTTCAAAATGGTCAATTTTGTCATTGGCTATATCTGGATTAATAACAAACATGACATTGATGCAACGATGTTCCATTGTATCACCAGACTACATGTGATATAGGTAGCATTAAGAGAAAAAAGTGATAAGAAGGTCTTACCAAGCTGACAATAGTGTACAGTGACATGTCTATGTAGACAATAGTTGGAGTTGTCCAGTTCTTCACTGGCCTTACGTCGGAACCTGGAACATTTCTCAAAGCCTGCACCACACCATTAAAACTGCAGGATGAGTTGCTGCAGTAACATGTACCTACAATGACACATACAAAATCGGTATGTCACGTTTGCTTGAATTAGGCAAATAGAAATAAAGAGAGCAATTGTCATGGTATACTTTTCATTTTTATAAGGAGGAAGTAATCTTTAAAGTAGAATGTCACCCTCCCATTCAGCAACACATGCTTATAAGTGCGTCTGCGTTCACAGTTTTCTCTTAGCCCCCCTGCAAAGTCCTTGATCCTGCCAGTAAAGGCACCTAATGCAGCTTCCTGTGATGGTATAGCAACAATGCTGCACTATTCTTAAATTGAAAGCAGTGTTGCCACTTTCACATAGGCTGGTATAACTCACTTATGCACAATTTTTGGCTTTGACCAATTAGAATATGAATGCTCTGCGGTGATATATTCTCGACATCTGTCCAGTGGTGCTTTCAGAGCAAAAGACAGCAGTGGCAATGAAGCAAGTCAACCCAATCTCAACTCTTCTACTCTGCGATATTTGGCCATCATTTTTCCTGGCTCGCATGACTTGCAATTACTGCACTGATTTTTAAGTGATCTGTATACATAGGATCACCAACACTTTGTCATCAGGAGAAGCTGACACGTGGAATGATATCCTTTGGGACTTTTATTTTTACATGGTCTAGTTCCACTTTAAAGTAATTTTGTTGTGACTTTCACATCACGACTTTCGTTATGCGATGGTTGTAAGGTCATTAAAATTTTGTACAATCTGCCCATCTTGGACAGGCTGATCGTACTTGCGATCATCTGAGGGGATCATTTAAGAGGGTGTGTTTAGGGCAGAGTTAAGGCCTGGCTAGTAGCTCAGGACTTGAAATTTTGAGCCCTGCTTTAACACATAGCAAGCCATATTTGTCATAGGATGACTACAGTTCCACTCTAAAGTAAATATTATCATAATAAGTGCAAATATCCGCTTGCAGAAAATACTCTGTACTTTCCCTTTAATCATCAAAACTTATGCACTGAAAGAAATACATTAAAGGAAAGTCCATAGTTCATGTTGACTAAAGAAATGCTATTGTGTAGACCAGGAAAGCATACCTAAAATAATGCTTTATTTAATCCCAGTGATGTAAATCAGAAAAGCTGAAGAGCAGGTCGAGGTCTGCTACTGTTATTTTCAGTTAACAGCACTATAGAGCCTATCTGCCTTCCAGATGATCCTTTTTGCTCATTGCAATTGAAGTAAACCTCTCCATATTTTGTGCATGCATGATTTGAGGAAATTAGACCATGAAATGATTGTTGGTGCCACACAGGGTGGCCATCAGAAACTGTTGACTTTCTGCGGTTTTCTTGCACTACAGTCTCTAGAGTTTATAGAGACTAGAGCAAAAAATATCCTATGAGCAGCACATCTGTGAGACAAATACCCGGTTAATGGGAGATCAGAGGGGATTGATTCAATTAGCATAATTATTATTATTATACAGGATTTATATAGCGCCAAAAGTTTGAGCAGGGTTTTACAATATAAGGAAGACATTACAATCACAATACAATTCAAGACAAGATGGTAATGAGGGCCCTGCCCGTGAGAGCTTACAATCTAAAAGGGAGCGGCCAGTTATACATGAGGAGGTAGCTGTGTGGGGATTAATTGTTTGAGAACGTGATGGTTGAGTGGTTAGGTTGAGGTGGGATAGGCTTCCCTGAAGAGATGAGTCTTTAGGGATCGCCTAAAGGCAGTCAAGGTGGGAGATAGACGGACAGGTTGAGGTAAAGAGTTCCAGAGGATGGGACTCTAGAGAAGTCCTGCAGGCGAGTATGGGATGAGTTGACAAGGCAGCTGGAAAGCAGGAGGTGACGGTTAGGGTGATACTTTGAGACCAGGTTTGAGATATATCCGGGGCAGAGTTGTGGATGGCTTTGTAAGTGATTGTTAATATTTTTAATTTTATCCTTTGGGCGAGTGGAAACCAGTGGAGGGATTGGCAGAGGGGGTTGCAGACACTGAGCGGTTGGTCAAGTGAATGAGTCTAGCAGCAGCATTCATGATAGACTGAAGGGGGGATAGCCTGTGTAGTGGAAGGCCAATGAGGAGGGAGTTGCAATAGTCAAGATGGAAGATAACAAGTGAGTGGATGAGCAGCTTTGAGGTTTCATTGGTGAGGAAGGGGCGTATTTTGGAGATGTTACGAAGGTGAAGGCGGCAGGATTTGGATAGTGATTGGATGTGGGGAAGAAAGGTGAGGTCTGAGTCAAGAATGACACCTAGCACCCTGGCATGAGGGAGGGATGGATAATTGTGTTAACAATCTCAAGGGAAATGTGGGAAGGTGCATGGGCAGGAGGAAATATCATGAGCTCAGTTTTTGAAAGGTTGAGAAGTGCTGTGACATCCAGACCGATATGTCAGTTAGTAGATTAGTGACATGCAAGGACACTGAGGGGGGGGAGTTGTGGAGTAGAAAGATAGATTTGAGTGGCACCGGCATAGAGATTGCATTGGAAGCCATGTGAGATTATTAACTGACCAAGAGAGGTGATGTAGATAGAGAAAAGAAGGGGTCCAAGGACAGAGCCTTGGGGAACCTCTACAGAAAGAGGAAGAGCAGGGAGGAGTTAGATTTGTAGGTGACACTAAAGGAGCACTTAGCTAGGTAGGAGGAGAGCCATGAACCATGGATATGACATACAATACTATTTCTATGCCTACCTCATCAGGGTTTATAAAGTATACATTTTATATTAGCCCTATATTAGAACCATTATTTTATATCCATTTTTCGGCAACCACAACAAGTTAGAGGGAGACTCAACTCACTGCTGAATATCCTCCTGCTATCTTTCATCTCTTAAGTTCTTCATTGTTATCTTTCTCTTCTTTCCACAGTTCCTTTTTTACTAATCTCTTTTTAAAATGGCACCAAGAGCACTGTTATAACTATAACGATAAGAAACTTAGTTATGGGGAACCATTGTAAGTTAAATAGAAAAAGATTAGTCAAATAGGAATAGAGCAAAGAAGAGAAAGAAAGATAACAACAAAGAACAAAAGAGATGAGACAGTAAAAAATACAAGTAGGATATACAGCAGCAAATCAAGCAAAGGGGGGACCTGAGTCTGGGCTTTTGGAAATCTACATGAGGGAGGATTTTACAGTTTAAAAACATGCCTAAAATATGTTAAGTGCATATGTAATCTTATGGGAAGATTGTTGTTGAAATGAATGGCCTGGTGGCAGGATCACTTTAACCGTTACAATAAGTACTCATTACTCTTGTCAGGGCTGGATTTACTCTCTCTGCTGCCCCAAGGACAGGTTCCTCAATGCGCCCCCCTACCCGCCAACCCCCCGGATGGAGAATGGCAGACCTGCAGGCTGCATACAAGTGATCTCTGTGACATTGCCGGGATCACTTGTAGAAAACAAGCGGCGGCTTCCCCGCTGTACATTTAGCTCTGCTTGCCCAAAACAAGGCTAAATATAGAAAACAACTACCCGCCCGGCGCCTGGAACTGCATGTCCTGGCCGTCAGGAGATAGGAATTCCACATAGTCTGGGCTTTTGGAAATCTACATGAGGGAGGATTTTACAGTTTAAAAACATGCCTAAAATATGTTAAGTGCATATGTAATCTTATGGGAAGATTGTTGTTGAAATGAATGGCCTGGTGGCAGGATCACTTTAACCGTTACAATAAGTACTCATTACTCTTGTCAGGGCTGGATTTACTCTCTCTGCTGCCCCAAGGACAGGTTCCTCAATGCGCCCCCCTACCCGCCAACCCCCCGGATGGAGAATGGCAGACCTGCAGGCTGCATACAAGTGATCTCTGTGACATTGCCGGGATCACTTGTAGAAAACAAGCGGCGGCTTCCCCGCTGTACATTTAGCTCTGCTTGCCCAAAACAAGGCTAAATATAGAAAACAACTACCCGCCCGGCGCCTGGAACTGCATGTCCTGGCCGTCAGGAGATAGGAATTCCACACCCCTGCTGCCCCTCTACTACCTGCTGCCCCAAGGCCGAGCCTCGGTTGGCCCTGTCGGAAATCTGGCCCGGACTCTTGTATGAGTAAAATCTCATACAAGATTGAATATGTTAATATACTTTCAAAATACATTTTCAATATTTTTGAATCTGCAGCTGTCATTAAAATAATACCCAGCAATTCTGCCATGACAGTTACTGTGCAGGCATGCCCCATTATAGGGTGAAAACTTTGTACCTGTCTCCCAGTTATTTCCCTTTATTGTCACACAGGTTTCCAATGGATACAAGTGGCTGTTTTTAAACATATGAAGTCATGGTCCACTGTTCTCACCATTGGGAAATTTGCCCGGAGAAATGCAATGTAGCCATTGCTGGAGTGCATGGATGTAGGTGGGAAGTGGCTGCAAAAAGGATTTAGATTAGCATCACTGAGATGCAACAAGGAAGGAAAAAAGGTAAAATCTATTTTTGAATGCAACACAAGGCTTTAGCAAGCAAATGTAAATGTGTTCAGATTCACAGCTACTTCCCAAAACTGTACCTATATTTTAAATCTCTAAACCCTTAACTTAAACTTAGCTCTAAGCCCTGTACTTAATAGTAAACTAACCTAATGTCTAAAGCTGAATCCCTAAAGCTCATACAGCAGTATACTTACCTTATCTTGCACTTTAAGACTAGCTGCCTATCACCAAAATCATACAGTGACAATATACCAGCAGTGAAAACCACTGATTCTAGAATTGAGTAGTTGAGCAAATGCCTTTAAACAATCATCTCTCTAATCTTCACTAAGGAAAAAAATGAAAACGTGAACTGGATGCAATAATGGCAGATCAGCTT